GGATGCCAGACCCGGGCCACTGCAGGACCGTCATTCATTGCGGTATGTGGGCCGAGTGTCGTGCCGTGTCCGCGCCAGAGCCGGGCCAGACCAATTTTGCTGACTGGGTTGTTACTGTTTTATGTCATGTGTTCTGTAAAGTGCTTTGTTATAGCTGCAGCTGTTGTGAAAACACTATATAACTAAACCTGAGTCGAGTTGAGTACTGTATATGCAGCAGGTTGCTAAAAATTGCACAGTTGGCTGCAAACAGTCCTCTGTTGTAGTTTGGACATCCCCGCTCGTCTGACTTACGCCCATTTCTTACCTATGAGGAAATCTGAAGTGCTGTGTTTCTCCAAGAACGTGTGGAGGTGGTACCAGAGCTGCGGAACCCAGTCCAGAACGCAAAGGAGGTCCTCGTGCTGCGACGCGTCATGCTCCTTCTTCTGGTAAGCTTCCATAACTTTACGGTGGAGGTACCTCAGGAGAAAGCCATTGGCTGGCTCCACATTATTAGAGAAAGGAACCATCCTGTGCGGCAGACATCAGAGGTGTGAAGATGTACTCACAGTCTGTTCTCAGGTTTAAAGGGAAGGTCGAGGCAAAAAAATGTCTGCGGTCCCATTGTCTAAAGACGGCATTCTGATTAATATTGCATTTGTGGAAAATTAATTAACCAGTTTTTATCTATCTCAGGTGGCGACCATTTTGTTATTTGCTGTCGACTGAAAATGCAGTGGCAAAATGCCTCGGGGCTCAGCTTGCGAATGTCACATGACCAAACCCAAAAAACAGCTGAGCCATGAGAGTTGTTGAGGAAAAAAAGGCATTTAGATTATTTTTGAAAATCGTTCAGTCCTCGTACTACATCAACTGCGGTCAGCTCTATTTACTACTTTTTCTGTGTCATCCTCCGAGGTAGACAAAAGTATTGAGATCAAGAAAGCAAAGTTTGCGACTCAAGTAAAGTTCAGAAACATGAAAATCGACTCAAGTACAGTCAAGAAGTATCTGTCCTTTTTAATTGACCACCACATTTAACACATTTGAGGGCTTCAGTCATGCACATTCTTCCTGACTTGGTGCTCACCTGAAGCTGAGGTGCAATCCATTGTTAGATGACATCTTCACGGGTTGATTTGTAGTTCCGATGATATAAGGACTGAAACAGCCACACAAAACCTGTTGAACTCACCAATCTTATTTCTTTGGCCAAATGATGTGACTCACCATTTATGATATTTGCAGGTGAGCGCGCCGTTGATGAGCTCGGTGATGGCGGCGCCGTCACTGATGTCGTCGATGATCACGACCAGCGGGAGCTCGCTGCCGCTCTGTCGGTCTATCTGATTGGCTAGATTAGACAGATACAATTGCAGCTCCTGTGGGAGCAAAGAACGGTGAGATGAAGTCCCCTTTCTCGCGTGCGCACTTTGTCCACATTCAACGATGAGCTACCTTTTGCGTCTGCCGGTGCATGTTGAAGGAGACGGCGGTGCCGCGGCCCACGAGGGAGGACTCGCCGTCCGCTTCAGGCAAGTCGCTTTGGCTGCGCTGTAGGAGGTAGTGGGCCAGACGCTGGGCCAAGTAAGTCTTCCCCGTGCCGCTGGGCCCAGAGAACACCAGACGCCGGTGCTTTAGCAGCAGGCTGATATAGTGCAGCATCAGAGGCTTGGGAATCAGAGTCTCGAATACCAGGGAGTCCACGCTTTGTTCTTCAAGACCTGAAGGATAAATATAAAATGGGGTAAGCATTTACGGATACCCATAAGGGAATTAGTAAAATAAAACAATTGCAATGGAAAGTGAAGCCATACTGTGCATGTAAAAATATTACGATAGGAATTGTGATGTCTCCCTCTCGTGGTAAATGAAGAATCATAGAATTACATGTTCAAATTGGCCATCATGTTGAGAATTAAGCCCCACCCCCGTTTTATGTATTTATTTATTTAAATCCTGGACAGTACATTCATTAAGTGCAGCTGGGTTGTATTTAATTTTTCAGTATACGGTACGACAGTTGCATTTAACCTTTTCCAACTTTTAGAACTGTTTGGAACATAAAGGACAAATTGTACTTTTAACTTGCATGCAACACATTTTAATTGAATCATTACCGGGATCTAATTTTTTTCTATATTTAAGCACATGTTTAAATTTCAGGCTGTGCACAATTTAGAAGTGGCCTATCATAAAATATTATTAAATTACCAATTAAATACATTTTTGAAATACATCATCTGCATCATTTTTATATGAACACTTACACTTACGATACTATTGTATTTCAATAATGATCATGATGATGGTATTTGGAGAGCTCAGTATGTTTAAAAATGTGGTACTTGGTGTGCAGAACCAGTGAATTAGAATATTATGAAACGTATGTTTTTTTCAGTTCAAATTTTTAAAAAATCCAAACTATTTCATTATTTTGTAAAAAAAAAAAAGTTTGGTTGGCGAAAATTGGAGTGAAAAAACAAACTAACAAACAAAAAAAAAGGGGCTTGCCTTCTGAAAAGTATTTTCCAATGTATTAATGAATCCATATGATTTTTTTTCAAAACTGACAGAGTGAAATAATTTGTTGTTGAGATGCACCTTGGTTTTTCCTTGAGGCTCGCCCACTAGAGGAATTTGGTACCCACGTAAATCTTTTCCACTTTGGCGACGATAATCATGGGCTACATTTGAGCTCACCTTTCAAGGTAACAAAGATGCGGGGCGGACTGCCGCTGAGACAGCGATAAGGCGACGTGTGAGGTTTGTCTCCTCCTATCACCCTCAGTGCTCCCTGGGTCAGCTCATACATGTGTAGCGAATCACAGTTCAGACCCAAGCTGGCTGTGGGGTCCACTTGAGTTAGGTACTCCTAAGCAAGAAAGACCCAAAATGAGCACGTGAACATTCATCGAATCCCACAACCTGCATGGACTTACTCTGAATGTCTTGGCTATCATGGAGTCGAGATAGGCCCATTCGGTCCTCTCGCCAATCATCACTGATCCCAGGTAATGTTCCTGCTGCTGTTTATGCTCCTACGGAAAGACAGTTGGTGCAAATTCACAACTATTTTTGTGCCTGCAAGAGGTGGAAAGGAAGCCAAGGATTTACCTCAGCTGGATCCGTGAAGCGAACCAGAACCTGTGCACACACCTCCTCCAGCAGAGAAGGTTTACCCAACATGGTGCCTGGAGACATGTCTAAAGACAGAGGAAGAAAACAAACACAACACCTATGAAAGTAACTCTTGGGGCACAGCAACAGGTGCACTTGACCAATTCTATAAGATACAATGCAAGAGATGTATCAAAGCACGCCTTTACAAAGATAACAATGCCTGACTTCATCAAAATCCCAAATGTCATTAGAAAATGACAAACAGGAAACATTTAATCGAGTAAAGGCCGCTCCAAATAGGTCACTTATGTGTGGTTGTCACTTGCCTGGACCTTTACAATCATTCAAACTGAGGCTGAAGGACTTGGTGAGGGACATGGGCTGCCTCAACGAAGTTCCTAAGAAAGAGGCCAACCCTGAAGGCTGTGAGGTGGATGAGGTGGGACCACAGCCCAATGAATGGACCTGACTTCCGATTTTCAGATGATCATTCTCTGCTTTCAGATTCTCCACAGTCGACTGGAATACAAACAAGATTGAAATAAAAGCAGGGGAAAAAAGTTGTCCGGAACTTCTTTCCAGGTCTAGCGAACCTCCATGCTGTCCATGGCGTCTCTGAGTTGCTCCAGCTGATGAGCAGAATTTAAAGCCTCCAGTCGGATGTCTGTTAGCTCTCTCTCTTTCTCCCAGAGTTCTGAGCGCAGCTCCGACACGGCCCTCTCATCACATTCTTCCTCCTCTGTTGTCCCCATGATCCTGGTAGGAATGCAACACACTCGTCAGGGACATTAAAAAAAAAAAAAAAAAAAATTTAACGGGACCGCCCAAATTCGCCATGCTGTCCATGGCGTCTCTGAGTTGCTCCAGCTGATGAGCAGAATTTAAAGCCTCCAGTCGGATGTCTGTTAGCTCTCTCTCTTTCTCCCAGAGTTCTGAGCGCAGCTCCGACACGGCCCTCTCATCACATTCTTCCTCCTCTGTTGTCCCCATGATCCTGGTAGGAATGCAACACACTCGTCAGGGACATTAAAAAAAAAAAAAAAAAAATTTGAAGTGGACCTGCCAATCTCGAGCTGATATTTCAACTCTTACTTCGAGGAGATGTCAGATGTAGAAATTTTGAGGGACGTCGAGAGGTTCTCCCCTGCATCCGCTCCTTCGTGCATCATCTTCGGTGAATTTGGAGCGGAGGAGTCAGGAGTGACAATTTCTTCAATGTCCGAGCAGGTTTTGGGGCCTTTCTTGATGCTGAAGGCCTTGTTGAAAGAGCTTCTCAGCTAGAGAGAAAGAGGACCACGCAGAGACAGTCAAACAAAGAAACTGATGGATGTTTGATTTTACTACTGAGGAATTCAAAGGAAAAACTAATGGCACACCAGCGAGGCACCTCGAGTCAAAGAATCAATCACACAGCTTCTTTAAAAACTGCTTGAAAGTCAGCTTGAGTTAACTCTGTCCATCTGAAATGTCTACACAACCCAAACGTTCAATTTCATTAGCCGTTTTTTATTTTGTATTATATTCATGCGATTCCCTCAAGGGCAAATTCAACTCACACTCTGCTGTATGTTTGTGTTGGAGGCCACACAGTCTAACGCATCACACATGTGAAGGTATGCAAGGAGCGATGTCAGGGTGAAACGTTCACACCGGCAGCCTCTTGAGCTGGGTAGTGGGGTTGGCGCCTTTCTCAGGGGCGCCTCAGCAGTCAGCAAGTAGTCCGGAAACCGACTAGCATCTCTCCAACAATTACATACCATTTGAAATCTTTTTTGGAATATTTCTTGTCCCATCATGACACAGTAGTTTCAAAGCCCAAATCCTTACAATGACTCAATATGCACATTTGATGAATATATATTAAGTGTAATAATGGCAGCCATTCACAGAGAAGCAGGTCAAAGTTAAGAGGGCTCTTATGGGTTGTGTTTAAAAAATAAATAAATAAATAAACAGTGAAAATCAAATTAAACAAATCCTTAAGCAGAGGATGATATTTTGAATCGAAAAGCATAGCTACTTTTGGATACTGCAGTCTGACATGCGCCACGAGAGATTGTGGAGGGACACAATACAGTCATCTCCGGCATATTCGTGGCTCACTAGTCCTGAATTTATTTATTCATGTTTTTTCATGTGAAACCTATCGCCAGCTATAACCTGAAAAACTCACCTATTCACATTTTTGTCCTCTTTCTACAATGTTCGAAGATGCCAAAAGATGCCAGCAACGTCGCGTCAAAAGAGGAAAGGAGTAATGTGTCGAGGAAGTCTGTTGAAGTAATGCATCTCAACTGAGAGAGGAGCTACGCATATTGGGGAGGAGCCAAGTTTAGCCTGGGTTATTAATGGAAGTTACCAATAGTCTTCACTGCATGTGCAATTTCGCTGAATTTTTAATGGTGTAAAATGAGTTTGAAAGGAGATTAAACTGTTTGGGTTCAAGTTTTGGTGTATTAACAGTTTAAGTTGTTACTATAAGCAATTCTAAGCCCCTTTTTTTTTTCCAATGTTCGGAGCAAGACTCAAACAGCGGGGGATTACTGTCAATACACTTACCTCAAAGACCTGAAATAAACCAAAAGAACGACACAAACTGGTCCAACTTCGTCAAGCTGAGCAACGAGAAACAGCGAGAAGCTGTGTACTTTCTTACCCAGCTCTTTTTCTTCTTCTTCTTAGCATCTTGGTCCTTCAAGCTGCCTACACTTGACATACTGGTCAGACTGTTGAGGCTGGAGATGCTTTCACACGAGTTCTGGCGACGAATACGCAACTCTAAGGAAAACAAGGGGAAAAGCAGTCATCATCAGGCAGGTGTTCAAAATGGCAGAGGAAGTCATCGGAATCACTCGGTTGATTTCTCCACCTTTATCGTTGTCTGGGTGGTTTAAGGCTCCGTGTATGACAGCCTGCGCTTCATCATTTTTGGCCTTCAGAGCTTCGATGGTCTCACGCAACTCCATCAACTCGGTGTCCTGCACAGAAAAAAAAAGGATTTCTGTAGCGGAGGAGGAATGTCTGGTGTTTTGATTGTAGGAAAAAAAAAACAAACACAGTGTGAAGCGAGGCTTGATCCTGAAAACGTGACTACTTCAAAGCAACAAAAAGTCAAGCAGCATACAGTGCTGCTTATTGTGTGCTTATGTCATCTATAGTGCACTCTAAACCTGCATCTGACCCATCTCCTCAAGGTTAAAGAGACCGTACTCCTGACTGGGCTGCACAGGTCATCGCGCTGGCACCAACAACAAAAGCTCGTTCTGGAGCAGTCTAGACGGGCCTTTTCAGCGGAAGCAGCAAGGCATGAAACACCGCGAGAAACTCCTCACATTTAAACACACAGTGGACAAGCCCCTCCAGCTCGGATCGCTTCATTCACACTTAATGCGGTAGGAGGGTAGAACAATGTCGGAATGTGATGTGCACACGCAAACTGATCGAGGCTTGACTGAGCTTTTTCTTTCACTGATCCCCTTCTCAGGCTACGTTGATCCCAAGTCACAGTGCAGCCGCGGCGAGGGCCTCAAAGGCGCATTCCTCCTCGCCGCAGGCTGTCATTAAAGTCACCTCGCTGCCCGACGGCAAAGAAGCTGAGTGCGGAGAACACCGGCTCCGTGATGAAATGCAGCTGGGATTCAAGCTTGTGTGTGTGGGTACCTTCTGATCGTGACTTAATGACAGGCTCTGCAGTCGGGTTGTCATCAGGGCAAGACTTTGCTCAAAGGCGGCCACCAGATTGGCCTGTTTGAAAAAAAAAAAAAAAAAAACAAGAATCACAATCCTAATCAGAATACTGCCATCGAGAATTTTCATCTATGACACACTGTAGCTGTTTTGCAAAACACTAAAACCGTCAACCATCATGCCCTCCCTCACGACTAAACAAGGTCATTGTTTCTCATGGTGGCACTATCATGATGCCTGGCTTGGGCATCAACTGATGCTATAGTGTTTTGTCCTACAAGGTTCATCATCTTCTTATGTGATGTGCTTGGATCACTGTGGATTCATCACAGTTATAGCCATTATTTTCAATATATTGACGAGATCCTGAAAGGTGAATGCAGAATTTGCTGTGTGGATGAGTATGTCCATGGTCGATTATTCGATTTCAGTTAATTAGAGTTTATTTGTCAACATTCTCTCTCTCTCTCTCTCTCTCTCTCTCTCTCTCTCTCTCTCTCTCTCTCTCTCTCTCTCTATCTATATATATATATATATATATATATATATATATATATATATACACACAGTATATATATTGAGAGAGAAAGAGAGAGACTAAAGAGATGAAAGAAAAGGTTGTTTTATGGCTAATGCACTCGAGTCAGAAATACTGTACTGACCTACAACACCAAAAGGAATTTGGTGGCTGAACTCAAAACTTCAAGGCAACAAACCTCGATAAATTATTTAAGTTGGGCAATCCAACAAAAAGCAACAACTTGCTTGTTTTGTTGTGCTCACTAACAGTGTTGGCATAAATGTATATTTTAAAGTTGTTCTAATTTGAATAACTGTTTTAGCGCCCAAAAAATACAAGTTGTTTTTTTACAGTGTAAATACTAAACTCAGGTGGCTATGAAATCTCTTGAAAATGTGTGATAGATGGTGGACTTAATTTCACTATTCAAATGGAGTCGGATTCATCTTGAGGGTCACTTACGTTGGCTGACAGCTGAGTGGTCAAGTTTGACACCTTCTCTTGGGAAGACTCCAGTTCTCTCCTCAGCTTCCGGATTTGCTGAAGAGAAAACAGGTTTGCTGAATTTAGCTCATGTTCCACAAACAGAATTTCAATGAGAAGGGTGTTTGGAATGAATGACAGATTTCTTCAGAGAAGGAGAGAAGGAAGGTGACAGAGCAGAGAAAACACCACGCACCTCTCCCTGTATCCTTTCCTCTGCCTTTGGATGCAGTGGGAAGAAAAGTTGAGATGTTAGACGAAGAAGGGACATTCCATGACGGAAGAAAGTGAGGACAGGGAGCGCAAGAAGAAGAAGAAGAAGAAGAAGAAGAAGAAGAAGAAGAAAAAGGAGGGACTAATATGTAGCTACCTGTGACTGAATGGCATTCCCACTCACCGACGAGTAGCTAGACGAGGCGTTGGATGCCAAGGAGATCACAGATCCATGAACTGAACGCACAAAAGCAAGACGATTGGAGAGAGGGTGAGATATTTGAATTTCAAGTGAAATTTTAAGATGAACCTATAAAATGCGCTTTAACCTTTGCAGGCAGTGACCATTTCTGGTATGTGCAATATGTGTGGCTGCATTTGGGCAATTTGGGCCCCCCCCTCGCAGTCACCCAGAGATAATGGGTGGTGGACACCCAAGGGTGGAGGGGGCGTCTTGCACCAGGGACTATTGAAGCTAGAGCTCTGACTGACTAGTATTGAAGTTTACTAGTAAGCTTCTTGTTAGAGAACAGCAGTGCAAAAACAGCGAAACATGCACATTCAATTTTTATTTATTTATTTATTTTTTTTTTTTTTAAAGAAAGGGTCAAATGTCACCTGTAAAGGTTACAACGTATTTTCGGTTTTTGCTGACACCCCCCAAAAACTGAATTTCCACAATTTTTGTAAGTGTTGAACACAAAGATATCATTCTGTTTTCTTACTTTCATCATTCAGCTCCTTGTCCCTGAAGGATCCGGAGCGAACCATTGCTAAACTGCGGGGGCGTTCAGCCAGCGATAACGTGCTTCCAAGCGGAGACGCCCCGTACAGCTCAGTGGACGTGTCTTGTGTGGGGATGCTGTTGGATCGAGTCATCCTTGGAGGTCCACCAAGCGGGTTTGGCGCTGGCAAGGTGCAAGTAGAGGGATGGTCACATCCAAATGCAACAATGGCAATGCTTGACAGTATATGCACTCTCAGTGAGTTTTTATGTTGAGAGGTATTAATGGAATAACTTGATATTGTGGTTTCATAGTTGACTGTGGATTACAACTGGATGGGATCATCTTGAGGACTGTTAGCAATATTTTTCCTACTTGTCTAAGTAAATAAGGTAACTAAATTAATTACAATGAAATTACATCTTGCAACTCTGAAAAAAAAAGCTTTTTGATTACCATTCTAACAATTTCAATCAAAACCGGGCTTTTCTATTGTTACGAAAGCCCAATATTTCATGGAGCTTCTGAGGTCAATCTGGATAGCGCAGGTGGTTGCTGAGTATAAATATGTCTGAATTAAAGTGACTTGACACACCTGCATTGCTAATGGAGGAGCGGGGCAAGGACGTGGGCGAGGACAACACCATTGGAAGAGTGAGTGAGTCAGTCATGCTCAGAATAGTATGAGAGTGTCTCCTCTCTCCTTTCTCCTTTCCATCAAACTCAACTTGGGAGGCACTGCTGAAACTACACGGATAGAGGACAAAGGTAGCGCTAATTGTTTCAAGGTACACCAACATTTGTGAAATGCAGTCAATACATTGAAAAACATCCTTGGTGGTTTTAATTTGCAAACACGCATGTGTGTACATGTATTTGCTTACCTTACACCTTTCTTTGGCAGAGTGTTTCTGTCCCTCTGAGAACTGTGGGGATCAAACAACGACATTATTTCAGCAGGCTGGCAGTACGGAAGACACGGTCAAGCTAGAAGTCAGTTGGATTTAACCAGTAACTATGACTACACTGGGAAAGGGACAACATTGAAACCAGGCCACGAGTGATGATTTAGGGTCATTTCATGTCAAATCACTCATGTGGATGGTCCCCCCCAACACACACATTTCTACAATGATTCAAAGGGAATGTCCCACGCTGGTGTCATATTTCACAATGAAATCCGGTGACGTGCAGCACACACGTCCGCAGAGTGCCAAACCTGTCTTCCTCTGCCTCGATTAAATACACTTAAATCACGTTAGACCACCAGCACTGCAAAAGAAACCTGCTTTTGAGAAGTTGAAAATCGAGTGTACTTTTTGCAAGTCAATTTGCAGATGCGCTGGGGGCTGAGGCAGCAATGCCCAGAGAAATTCACAAACGTGCTAGATTAGTCCATTGCCCAGGCACAAAAACGACAAAGCGCCCACTGTCTAACTGATCCTTTTCTCCCACAATGCCCAAGATTAAATCTCTTTATTGTACACTATATGTGATTACAGAAAGGCAGGATAATGATGACATTTCAAACATAAAGAGTGATATCACTCCTATCTCTTGACACTACCAAAATAGGGCCCTGAATCCCTAATTTTGAATCAATTGGAGCAGGGCTTTGGGAACGAAAGCTCACCAAATCTTTACATTTAAAAAAAAAAGGGGCGCGGCCTCCATGGTTTGAACACTTAGAGCTCAGGAACTATGGGGTTAATCTTCACATAACAGGTATGTTGTGCCATCCCTATCAACAGCTACAGCACGTGTGATTAAAATTAAAATCTGCTTGGTTAAAATTTTCTGATATTTTGTGGGGATGAATTGACATGGAACGCCCCTTTTGAGGTCGTCATTAACCACCTTTGATGACAAACCAGCACATCTCGATTTAATATTTTTTGTTTATATTCGGGGAGTTCCACGGGCAGTTTCACAGGTAATCTCTTGAACACATTACGGAACAGAATAATTATGGTAATGAATACACAGACATGCACGGTGCCTTCATTTAGTTAGTTTAGTCTCACCTTTCTGTCTCTGTCAGAACTTTACTTCCAGAGCTCCAGCCAGCGGGAGGGCCTCTGTCCTCATGTCGACTGTTGTCTCTGGACTCACTCGTGTTGTAGCACCTCACCGACTTTTCCCGGCCCCTCTGCTGCAGCTCTGAAGCTACGCTCATCTGCAAAGGCAGGGACTCCATGCTGCGATGCAGACCAGACATGCGAGGGTAGAGCAAAGGAGAGGTGCTCCTGGCGCTCGCCTCCACCCCGAGAGAAGTAACTTGCCGAGGCCCCAAGCCGATCCCTGAGCTCGAGAAGCAAGCTGAAGAGTTGACATTGAGCAAAGGGGCTGGGCTGGGGGTAAGGCAGGGGCTTGCGGAACTGGCGAGTTCTTGAAGCTTTGAGTAAGGAGGAATCTTTGGAGGCAGGGAGTCCTGAGCCTCAATGACCTCCAGGTTGCTGGAGTTCATCTTGTCCATATGGGAAACTGACGGAGGTTTCGTCAGGCTGCGTGAGCCGGAAAGCCTATATACAGAGAACAAAAATAAATGGTCATATTTTCAGAGAACTGGATCACAATTTGCTCACAGATTTACTGTACTTATTTGGTTTGCAAATAAGAGGCATAGTTGAGTGGATCACAAAGCTTTTCAAAACAGGTGGACAGGATCATTGTGCTTTCTGCCATATGGAGGAATATTTTATCTGTCACTACAGATTGCTGGCATAGCTAGATGAGAATATACACATTATATGTACGAAATAAATAAAACCGGTCAGCAAATCTTGATCAAATATTGAAATCAGATGCGGGTAAACGTTTTTAATTCAGTTCTTTGTGCTGATTCAGAATTTTCCCTGTTCTTTTTTTTTTAATCTATAGCGCTTAATAGTAAAATAACAATAATATCATCTGTAATATTTTCATATATTTATTAATATTCATGAATTCAGGGTTACATTCACCAACAGGTAGATTTATTTTTTGAAATGTCATAGCTATGAATAACAACAAATGGTAAAATCCGTACTGTGCAAGCTTTTCTCGGTTAAATTTCAAAACCAAATATTAAAACCATCTCAAAAAGTGAGGAAAACCGCTAGGAAAAAAAGGAAAATACATTTTGGGACAGAACCAGCTTGGATTAACCCTTTCATGAACCCTGTTAACCTGATAACATAATAAGTTGTCCCTGAAAGGGTTAAAAGTTGTTGTTGACCGGTGTAATTTTTACCACTGAAATGAAATTGGACCATTTCCCAAACACCTGTCGTAGAAGAGTGGTTGGGAATCAGTGGTAGAGAATAAAAAGCACCTCACGCACCGGTGTGTGTTCGATGATGGGAGATCTTTGCACTTGCTACTGGGAGCTCTGAGCCCCTGCAGCCTCCCTCCGTTCTCTGCAGCAGTCTGTGCTCGACTGCCCTTCAGAGGGCCACCTCCACACTCCGAGTCCGACACGACAGCTTTAGCTTTGGCTCGCTCCTTCTCCTTCTCTCTGTCCGTCTGATTGACAGGACTCGGGATCCCCCGACCGCCCGTTTTACTTAGTCCTACTGTCCCAGGAGTAAGTCCGGGCTGCTCTTTGAGCCTCGGGCCCTGGAGGGCCGTGCCAGAGAATTTGGATATCCCGGAGCCTACGTCCACGGTGCTGCTTACCGGACGTGCCGAGCTCGGCCGGGTTAGAGTCAAGGTACTTGTCTTGGCCGGGCGGGGCAAAGAGCGGTACTGAAGGGACGTCCTAGCATTTGGAGACAAAAATCCACTCGGGTCACTGTTGGAGACATCCAGACTTGTCTTACATCCACCTGCTGCTGGTTTGACTGGAATACCAGATGTCTTGGGAATGTTGCCACCTGCACTCACAGCAGGTGAACTGGTATTATTTTGGGTGGGCTTTTTGAAACCAAAGTTCCCTCCTGTAGACGGTTTGGCAAGACCTGATGGAGGTTTACGTTGCTCGCAAGAACCAGTCCCATTGCGCTGGTCTTTCCCGGCATCAGAAGAAGAGCGCTGTAGACTACAGTTTTTCACGGCTAATCGAGATTTATCTGTTGGCTTTCCATCTGTCTTCACTGTACCTAGAGGGAGAAAAAAAGAAAGACAATGCCTATAAAATGTCTCTCAAGCCGAATAAGCCCAAGCAAACCATATGAAGATGTTTTATCTGAACACCTACAAGTCTGTCTACTGATGAAACCAAAGCCCCGCCTGAGCAGACAGACGACGCATCGGCATGACTCACAGCCAGCTTCAGCTTTGCTTATCGTACACTTACTCCTCTTTTCCATTCTGATCAACTTAAAAAAAAAAAAAAGTTTTCTCTTGCTTTCCTGTCATGTGAATGTGCGTCTGTGTGTGTGTCACAGCTGCGGTCATCTGGATGTGGAAAACTGCTGTTCACATTAGCAAAGCGTGTCTGCGGCCACCAAAGTCCATGGAACACTGTGAAACGAAACCGCTTTGTTGTTGACACGAAAGCTGAAGGCAAGTTACTCTGCACACGATTCAGCCCCACATGTGTCCCTATTGGCAAATTAGTGAGACTAACATGAAAGTGATTATGGGGAAAATATGTTTAGGAGTCAGTGACAGAACTACACACTCGTGAGCATTGGCCACACTAGTGAACACTCACAATACTCATGCTTTTAATTTTGTATGCAATGGGAGTTGTTATAGAGGTTTATATACAAGACATTAACACACTCAAAGAACTGTTGTTGAATGAGACCCACCGGCGTGCAGCCGTGGGCCATCTGGAGTCACTTAATGGTATTTTAACCCCCCCCCCCCCCACACACACACACACACACACACACACACACACACACACACACACACACACACACTTCCCAGTTATTGGCGCTCCTAGCAATATGGCTCATCAGGTTTTTCAATTCTTTTATGAATGAATGTAAAAATTGGCTTTATGTGCTGTAGAGTCACAATTGTAATCTATTGTACGACCACTGGGTTACACTTGCTGTAAGAGGAATATATATACATTTTGAGATGAATTAAAGTCAGGTTTATTGGCACCAGCGATGGGCACAGTACACACAACTTAATAAGAAAACACGCTTATGAAAAAAGGGAGTATTACATTATTACTTGCAGCAGTCTTTCCTGTGTACCTGGTGTTATACATTGATCTGCTTAACAAGCAGAAATCGCTCAAAAGTAACAGTGACAGTTTGTGCCACACACGAGTTGAATACCTATTACGGTTGTTAATCTTGTACTTGGTTATTCTACAAAAACTAACTCATTAGACAATAAGACAGGGAGACTAATGAGGACACTATTGCTTTTTGGGAATATTTCCTTTTTAAACATCGCAAAATCCACTTTGAAACACTATATTTACCAGGTTGGGCATTTATGTGTTCCCGATCGTACTCTGGAGAGAAAATAGCTGAAGGGAAAATAATGACTGTGATTAAATCATCAAGTGCTGGCAGCCAAATAGCGCCCAATCAATTCCACCAAATCGTCCAGAATCTTAATACATTTTTCTTGTCTTATTCTGAGAATAATGACAACAGGCATTAAAGCTTGTTTAAAATCTGGAATAAATCTGAATTATTCATAACGATCGTGACAGTGCCAGCCACACACTGTACATAATAAGCTGGTACACAACTTTGCAGATGGTCAGCTCAGTTCATGGTTATTCAATCACAGGAGAGAGAAAGAACTGTTTATAGAGCCATTGCTGATGTAGACTGGCACACACCACCATGGCTAATATCCTGTCATATGATTGTGTGTGTAGGGTGTGCATGCGCGTGCCCTAACATAACAAACAGAACAAAGATGGCACGCTTGAGAAGGAGCTGCACAATCCCCAGCATTGTCCGACTTTTATGCAAACTGAGTGTGTTCATCTTTACAGTAGCATGATGGGTGACACTTTTTACGCTTGGCAATATTTCAAATGTTCCATGCATTTATTTTGGAACAGTTCAATAGCAAGCTCACAAATTAAAGGAAAGGAAATGGGAAGAATTAAAAAAAAAAAAAAATGTTTTTCAGTGCGTGCGTGCGTGCGTGCGTGTGTGGTTGGCTGGCTGGCTGGCAGGAAGGGAGTGGGTGGCAATGGGCGTTTGATACACGGCACCACTCACTAAAGGCCCAGAGGGTGGGCTGCAGCTGTGGGCGAATGTGTGCACACAAAGGCAGCGAGTGTGTCTGTCACTAAGTGTGGGAGTGAGACAGAGAATACTAAGGTCAGAACATGTGTCAGTGTGCCGCTTATTTATCACCTTATTGAAAAATCACGCAAAACGGAGCACCTCAAGGAGTGCAACTGTGACCTCACCTGCTACTTTCAGCCCACTCTGAGGTGCGTGCGTGATGGGAGAGGTGACTCCCACCGGTGGGTTTCTTCCCTTCTTCAAGGCATGTGAGCCATGACCCAGCGTCTGAGGTTTCTTCAGTTCACCCTTTCCTCCTTCATGACCGTCCACCAGCGGCCTCGATTTTTTCCATTTATTGTCTGACTCGGACTTGAGGCTTCCTGTATCGTAGGTGCTGCTTCCCAGATTCTTCCGGCTGGGTTTGGAATTGTCACTGTCCCACGAAAGTCCACTCTCCACCAGAGACCTTTTCTCTGCATCTGTGCGCATCTAGAAAGACGTAGACTGTATTAACAAATATTTACATCAAAAGCGAGACATGATTGTGTGGCTACACTGAAAAAGGTTTTTGTCCAATTTGGGTGCACGAAACAAAATCGTCTGGATTCAGAAACATTCTTTCAGTAGACAATATGTACTTCAAAAATGGATCTGGATCCAGAATGATTTCATTTTGTGTAACCACTTGATGAAATAAAACTGAGTAAATTCAACACACCATTTTTTTTTCAGTGTATATTGCCAAAATAGTGTGACTCTCAACCGGGATGCTATGAAATATTAAGTGTGCCGTTGGACTAAATCCAATGAGAGTAAATCTGTCTGAATATTGCCATTAACTAATTCCAAGCATATCTATTTTAATCTAATTATGCCACCATCATATTGGGACAGGCAGAACATTAAAATGCTTCTTAATTAGATGGCAGAAGATGCAATAAGCCTCCATATTCCAATGCTGCCATTCATACCGTCGTAGTGTCCTGATTTGTGCTTGATTGGACGGGCCCAGATTTCACAATGAGAAAGTCCATTTGTGAGATCTGCGTGATTTCAGTATTTTTGTTTGGTGGTGTAACATGAGATTTTTCTTATGCAAAATGGGTGCCAGTGATGTCGGGAAAGGCTGCCCTTAATGACTGCAATAGTCTTATTACTCCATTTGTGACTGAAACGCAGCTTAAGTATGCCGCGGTTAACTATAATGACATAATGGTCGCGCTCATCTGCTTTCACAGCTTCAAGGGATTCACGGCAGCTTGAGAAAAACAGAAAACACTGACAGAGTAGAATTGATAAATTTTTAGTTTTGAGAAAATGGCACCAAGTTCAACTTTGCTTTCTTTAGAGCAGACCAAAATCTCTTGAGCAAAATCTTATTTTTCAAAACAAAAACCTGAATCACAACCACATGGCGTTGGAACAGGGGTGTGTAGACTTTTTATATTCGCTGCATGTTAGAAAAACATCCGGGTAGAAATTGATACTGAAGCAAAGACAGGCATTTTCCAAAGTCACAAATGTGCTCCATGTATCTGAAAACAACCTCAGGCAGCAGAAAGCTCCCCGGGCAGCAGGTGTCATTTATAACGGATGCGTGGTCGTACTTCTGGTTTAACAAGTCGGGTGGCAATCAACCTTACAACGATAAGAAACATGAAGCACAGGTTTGCCTGCTCACCATGACAGTTCATGTTAAGACAAGAGAGGTCACCCAAGGATGGAAATGTCCGGTTTCCAATGAGTGCTCACATTCACACGCTCTGCATCTGACAAAGCGCTGTAGGTGTTGTTTGCATGCGTGCGTGAGTGTCTGTGACAGTTCAAACAGATGCAACCGGCTGCTCTTACATGGACTCAGTCTGGAATCCTGTTTTTATTAAAAAGCACTAGACCCCACGGGAAGACAGAAGTAATGTGCGCGCGCGCGTGCGCGCACACACACACACACACACACACACACACACACACACACACACACACACACACACACACACACACACACACACCAACACATAAAAACCCACACACCCCCTCACACACACACACTCACACACACACACACACACACACACACACACACACACACACACACACACACACACACACATCCTAACGTAGAAATCCGCAAATCCGCCTTTTCTGTCAATAGAGCTCCTATTTTCCTTTAAATATAATTGCCATGACCTCGTATCCCTCCACCCTTTGTCCCACTTTCTTCAATTTCTTTCCCCTTATCCTGTCGGCTGTGCGGAACGACAAAGTTCAGTTAGAGATTCAAAACACATTTTACAGACAAAACAAATGGGGATCGTTGAAGAGACGCGTCATCTTAGAATACAGGCAGTTGTGTTTCTATCAGACAATATGGGGCACATGATGATGGGATGCTCGGTTGCCATGGTACAGGTGCCATAGGGGGCAATGGTTTCCATGACTCTAGCAACGAGGCATGGAGGGAGACGCCCTGTAGGTTCTTCTGGCTCACTGGCCCGGATGCTGTACCGCAGATGGCCCCTTGTTTGTGTGTGAGTCCGAGACCCGTCCTTCACGTACAGTGCAAGACAAAGAGCCGCACTCTCAGCATCCCTGCAGTACTGTTGCTATGGTTACACCAATTCTTGTTCTCCTGTGCTTCATTCTAGCTCCCTCCTACTACAGCTCTCCACACAGTGGAGGTGTAACCCACATCACACAATGGCAGTATTAGCGGGAGAAGGATTAAGTCCTATCACATCCCTACTGCAGCTTCTGAACACCACAGTGGATTTCGGTGACTGGCTATTTTGTAGTTTGCAGAGAGGTCTACAACAGCATCACACTGAAAAGAGTTTCTAATCGTTTGCATACCACATCTTGGAAATATTAATATTATATCAATTGATACTTACAGTGGTGCATGTTGACTGTGCCAATCTAAACTGAGCATAACCGCATTACCTTTCAGCACACTGCAATTACACCACTGGCCGAATTGGACGGAATGCGTCAGAGGCGCAAAAATCATTCCGTGCAATTGTCAAATGATATAAGTGACAGTCCAATCCTGCCCAAAATTGGTGTGCAACACATTAACCACCACAGATGAGTGTGTGCGCAGAATGCTTAATGAGGCTTTGTGTCTGAGCTCTGCTACCTGCTGCTGCTTCTGCGAAGAAGTGGGTGTCCAGTAAGTACATGCGCCAAGTGCATCAAGCATTAATCAGCACTTCGGCGGATTAACACCTTCAGCAATACTAACAAAGAGATAGACTGTGTGAGTGTGTGAGTGCGTGCGTGTGTATTCGAGCGTCAGCATGCAACACGTACTACAATGGCTGAGTTTCTGCGGGAGCCAATAGGGGTGGTCGGAAGTGAGTTGAGGGTGGGGCTTGTGATGAACTCCTCGGAACTCAGATTGTCGGAGCCGTCGCTCAGGCCGCTGCTGATGGAGCTGCTCTCATCCCAGCTAGAAGAAAGAAAAGGCTGGTCAGGGGATGTCGATATTTGCGTGTAGCTTTCTCGTTCTTAAAAATATGTTCCTGTTACATTCGGCGGACATGTCCTATCTAGGGTACATCATTGAACGACCTTTGACATCACTGTATAGTTCAACCTCACTGATTCCCGATTCACCATTGGCAAACCTGTAAAACTGAACCTTTTGCTGAATCTCAGCAATCTGAATAATTTGATGCTCTTTCATCATCTGGCCAGGTGGTGGTGTGCTTTGATGAAGCTCAGTTTAGCTTTTCAGAATCTAAATACTGAACGTGGATTGCCTTTTTTTTTTTTTTTTTTAAACGCATGAATTGCTTTATTACAGAATTGAGGCCCAGGCATAGACAAACAAAATACCCAATATAAAAGAGAAAATAAGATACAGATATACCCCTGCACCAAGGTAGTCATATAAGAAAAAGAAACAAACAACTAAATACTAAAATGCATCATATAGGCAGCCGTACTATCAACAAACTGTTTTAAGCTTAGCTAATGCGAAAATTTGCTTTCCCGCATTTTGAACAATTTAATAAGAGTCTACAGAAGTAGTTGGCCTTTGTATTGTCCCCCAAGTGGTTTGGAGCAATTTGCTTGCTTTGTTGTGCTAAATAACATTCTTGCCAAGCTTTGCAAGCTCAGCTACACCAGAAACTCACTTGGCTCAATGTCTTCCAATTTGTCTTTGATGAAAAATTCACAGACATTGCGGCTCACTGTTCTGCAGACACACAGCATCCAACTTTCACCCTGCTAGCACTGCAGACAAGGCCACACTTAAAGTCAAAATAATCTCGGCCTACGTGCATAAAAATAGCACAAAAGAACATATACATGAGTGCTGTATATGCTCACTATTGCATCCACAATTACCGGCACTGTGCTAGGACAACTGTTTGCTTCCTCTCCAAATCAACTGCTGCCACAATGTTGACATGAGCAGGATGAAAAAAAAAAAAAATCCGTCACGCACTTCAAAATGGTGATTGCAAAGATGAAGAGCAAAAAAATAGATACACAATAAAGTGCAGCATGGTATATGGAGAACTGTCTGCTTGGTTACATAAAGTGGGTCACATTTCGGTGGACGTGCCCTCATTTGCGTCATTAGGTTAGATTGCTCTTATAGTAAAGAGTGGGGGTGGCCTAATAAGGTCATGGATATACAGTACTGTAATACAAGGGAAGATGGGGGGGAGTAGAGTGCCTTCCGGTTGAGTGCCTGTATGGGTCACCCCACAGCCTGGGGGTGCTTGATGACAACCATCGGGAGAAAAAGGGGCAAAGCATGTCCTGTCTGGCCTGCGAATATCTTTGACCCAAAAAGAGTAGACAGGATTTCTAATCTGAAAGTGTTGTTACGTTACCTATTTTTGCCATCATTGCTAACATTGCGCAGTAGCATAAATTCACACACAATTTTGGAAGGAATAGCTCTTTCCAAATTCCAAGTAGTATGGGGTTTTGGATTGCTGTATTTGCTTGTTGAATGATGGTGTCATCGTCTGTTTCCAGTTTAGGTTGCGCCAGACTTCTTGAGCGAGGAACTGAAGTCGCTTCTCTTCATGTTGTGCTGTTCGTGCCAAAGTCCCCACTGTGCGATACAGTATTACTGTTGAACGACCCTCAGAGTCTTTCCCAAGACATGAATATGTCATTCTTTCCTCATTGGACACCCTCGCTGCTGGAGGATAAACCTCCAGGAGGGCTGTGCAGCTGTGGTTCATCAACACTCCGACACCAGCGCCAGATGTATGAAGCAATCCATGTTTATTCAGAGCAAACAGACAAACACTGACTGAGCTGGGTTGTGCCACTCAACTGAACTCGGAGACAAAGTCAAACAACGCAGGCACCGCCAGGATAATATGGATGAGCAATTAACGACTAAACCAAAAACATTATGTGCGTGATAACTGGTAAATCCCCTTCCCTTACTGTGAGCTAAAGGGGGGGATCTGAGAGCCGAATCTAAAGTTACTTAATAATATGACTTCAGTAAAAGTAGTCCTCCAAATAATGACTTGGATCAGAGTAGGTGTTCAGTGAAAAAAACTAAGTACAGAGTAACTGGTGAGTAAATTCTGCTTCATTTTTTTTTGTAATCAGAGCACGTCAAGGAGACGAAAATGTATAGTAGGAATATACATGTTTAAATATTTTCCAACTATAGTACTTTAATAAAAACAATTATAAATTAAATCCTGCTAAAATAATAAAAAATGAATCCATTTCGGCCACAAGAAATGGTCTGAAATTAATTTCCTTTGTTTACAGCACAAGTTTGAAATTAAGTTCTTGTGGGCTGAAATGAGGACATTTTTAGGCAGACAGATGGCGCCACGTCGACCTTGTGTGCGATCATGTGACTGCCTGATTTGTTTGGTGAAATAAATTCAAATCTCACGAGTGGCTCTGTGGCTCCGTGGGATTGGCGGAACAGAGTCAAGTGACACCGGCAGGTTCTCCCTGACAAACCAAAAAAAGTACAGTAGTGCACACAAGCAATAAATGATAGATTTTTTTCAAAAAATGAGCAAGCAGAATGACGTTCAATGTGAACGTAGTACAATTTATCAAAAAAGTGACTGAAGTAAATGGAGCGAATGGAGTTACTACTCACCTGTGCTGTTATGCTTTTACTGTGCAATACACATTTTACCTTGTTTGTTTTGCGCACACATATGTAGAGCATCTTTGGCAATAAAACCAGGAGACAAGTGTATTTTTAAAAGTATTATTGTGATTTTACATTACCGTACATATGATACAATTTAGTTTGAACCAGGCTGCATCAATGAAACAAAAATATACCAGAATTTGATTGTTGACATAAGTTCAGCGACGTGCACAAAGCATCAGCAGTTGCACAGACCTGAAGTACGGAAGAAGTGCCTTCACCTTTGATCTGCACAAAAGAATTCTAATCCGTTTTCCATACGACACTCTTCTTCACTCCGTGAGCCGAAAACGGGAAACTCAACAAAATCCGTACACGATAAACATCTTATGCTTCCTATGACTGGACTTTTTGTGACATGCTGTAAAGGAATTTCATTTTCCTGCCAAGAGCTGATATCAATCCATAACTGCCAACAAGCAGCAGCCAGCTCTACCAAAAAAGATCACTGCTGCAAGACGCGACAAAAGCACATCGAAAGCACGAGCATGCTCGAAAAAGAAGAAGAAAAAAAATTATGGCTGAGAGAAAAAGTTTTAAAAGGCAAACCTAAAAATAGAAAAAGTGCAATGACTTGTGCTCTTGATGACACATGGGGAACTTTCTCATCTTCTCCGGATGCTTCCACTGAAGTGAACTGTTATCGTATGTTGTCTGCCGACATATTTGCGGGCTATTTCAGTTCTATCCGCTGCTGAAAGTTCAAAGCACTGCAAAATTCGATGCTAATTAGCGTTAGCATTAAGCTAGAAGTGCCTTTCTTTGGATAATTTGGCTGTTTTAAAGACACAAGGTGCAACTCTGTTTTAAATGTAGTTTGACAGTCAACCTCAAGTGGGAGTGGCATTAAATAGCTTGAAGCCTCTTTTTGATGAATTGTTCACAACCGGTATTTGCGAACAACGGCTCGTTTCTCAGAAAGCTAATAAACCGGGTCACTCGAATGTCAAGGCGCCACAGTACTTCAAGGAAAATCCCTTCGCAATGCCATGCAGAGATGGGCTTAACAACACTGCATGCATGAAACCATTTAACAAGAACATTAAAGTGTCAACCCAAGCCATTAACAAGGATGCTAATTAATCCCAAACGGCTTTAGGCTGCCAAGGAGTTCACACTTGTGTCTCAAGGTGGCAACAACGTTACCTTGTTCTGTTGGATTGGAATTGTTAGAATAACATTTAACATTTACTGCAAATTATCTTTAACTACGCATGTGGCAGGCTGTTAGGGAGGCCATGGCTGCAGAGAAACACTGTCATGAACAATGATTCAAAGTGGAGCTGTCCAGGTTGTAAATCGAAACTAAACACCCTTTCTCTGACGGAATTTGACTTCACTTTCATTAGCATGATGACGGTTGCTGTTGGCTGACGAAAAGACGTTAAATAATGAAGGCAGCAAGTCTTTTCGGTTGAATCTTTTGACATATATTTGCCATTTACTTTCCCATGAAAGCTTGATTTGATTTCAGCTGTACATACTGGCAAAAGTGACGACTGAGGATTGCTTGAAATGGTTTTGCTGCGTTTCCAATTTTGCAGATTAATGGCCAACAGTTGTTCCTGTCTGCACAGAGGACAGATAGACTCACCATATTCTTTGTTTGAGTATTTGTTCAACTAAATAGTTTTCTTTCATTGACAAGCCTCTTTATTCCTCCACAATACAAGCCGTTAAGATAATTACTTATCGCGGTGTGCATGGTAGGTTATTTTTTTTTTCAGTTGATTGTGAGAGAGCTGTCTACACTGTTCTCCGTCATCGCTCCGAAATTTCATGATGTCTTGAAACGAAGTGCAGTGAGCCAAACAGCTGGGCCTGCAATGATTTGTGGCATAAGTTCTTGCTGAAAGTTAGACTTTTCCTATCTGTACTAATCATGCGCCTGGTAGCAGTTGATAAGCAGTTTCAACTAAATGAATGAATACATTAGAAAATTGGTCTTTGCCTTTTGTTACAGTTGCTATGTTCATAACAAAAGACACCATCAGACCCCCCTCCCCCACAAACAAAATAGAAAAAAAGAAAGTAACATTGCTATAAAAACACTCTGCATCCCTTGCAGAGCACCAACAGTGTTAAATGGCAAATAGGGACGCCGCCTGTGCATCCTGCTATGATTTAAAAAGCTTGTGCCTATATACAGTTAAATCAGTCCCCTCCAAAATGTCTGAATGTGCAAATGCATGGAAAGACTCGTGGGCACGTCGACAGTGGACAGGAAAGTTCCATTCCTGATGAAATCCACAGTGTCACATGGCCTAACCCAAAATGGCTAAATCAGA